TAGGTAGCATCGTTGGTGATCAGTGATGTTACTTAGTTGGGTAATGAAATGTCTGCAACAAAACAACAAAGCTCAGGAAGTACTAAGGATCCCCACAATTCAACCCTGTGTTATGGCTGCAGGAACTGAGTACGTCCAGTTTAATCAAAAGAAGGACTAGGGGTGACATAATACCACTGTTCCAATATCTAAAGGGCTGCCACAAAGAAGAGAAAGTCAACCTATTCTCCAAAGCGCCTGAGGGCAGGACAAAAAGCAATGGATGGAAACTAATCAAGGAGAGAAGCAACCTAGAACTAAGAAGGAATTTCCTGACAGTTAAAACAATTAACCAGTGGAACAATTTCCTTCCAGAAGTTGTGGTTGCTCCAACAATGAAAGTTTTTAAGAGGAGATTGGACAACCATTTGTAATAATATAATAATATAATATACGTGGATATATGCATAATTTATTTATGTATTTATTTATTTTGTCCTGTTTATGTAGTGTATATTGGAGGTGGTGACTCTTTGAGAGCTGCATGCAACGAAATTTCATTTTAATATATGCCGATTAGTGTATTTTCAAAGTGACAATAAAGTTATTCATCCATCTGTCCATGTATCCATCTGTCCATGTATCCATCCGTCCATCCATCCATCCATCCATCCATCCCATCCATCCATGCATCTATCCATCCATGCATCTATCCATCCATGCATCTATTCACCCATGCATCTATCTACCTACCTACCTACCTATCTATCTATCTGGAATGATGTAGGATTTTCTTGCCTGAGCAGGGGGTTGGACTGGACGACCTCCAAGGTCCCTTTCAACTCTTCTGTTATTCTTTTATTGTGTATTTTTTCCCTGATGTTGAAGTTGCTATTTCAGTTCTGCTGTTGGCACTACATCTGCTCACCTCAATTGCTATTTCCTGCTGATGAAAATTTATTAAGTTGCATCTGATTCGTGTGCTTAAAAAAAACAACATACCCTTATGTTTGCCCATGAAAGAAAAAGAAAAGCAGTTTTTGATTTACACCTCAACAATATCCCAAGAGGCTACTCTGAAGTGAGAACTTGGCTTTGTTAACAAGACTCCTAATGAAGGGAGATAAAAATAAATAAAGATCCTCATTAGCTCCAGACCTTTGAAGGGAAGAAAGGTACTCCTTCCCAGCTAGGAAGGATCTACAGGCCTGCTCAATTGATTAAATCTCTTTTTTTAGAAAAACCTGGGCTGCTTCCAACATATCCAAGCCAGAAAAACAAGGATGGGTATACAGTTATACAAACTCCTATTTCTGCTCCTTGGTCCAGAAGTTAATTAACATTCATGAACTCAATAACTGCAAACTTTGCTGAAGGGTGCATCCAATATTTCTTTTCTTCTCCCTTGCAAGTTGTTCTCAGTTCTGCTCTTAGGCCATTCTTAACTGTTAAGTTGCGGGAATGAGACTCAGGACACCAGCATGATTCCAATCTGTTTTACTTCCGCATAGGATGGAGCTCCAAAGAAACTGCGGCAGCCCTTGTTATAGTTAGGCTGCTCGCGGCTGTGGTCAGTGACGGCTCTTCAAAATTCCCACCGCCACAGACCGACCAATTGCAGGTAAGTATGCTAATACATAACATTAACCTCCCTTTTCCCCACCTTTTCTCAAACAAGCCTTGCCTTGGCTATTCTCTTTTTCAATAACTCCTCCACTTCCAAAAATAGATATACACCTTTGCTAGGAAAATCATAGATGCGATTTTATAGCTCAGCCCTCTCTTACGAACATTATTTTCGCAAGACTTTCTGCAGAGAACCATAGACCCTCCCCAGATGAACGTCCTTCAAATGCTCTCACTTGCAATAAAGTAACTTTACATTTCGTAACTTTAAAATTAAATGTTCTTCAATTAACTGGAATTGCTCTGTTAAGGTTGCAGTCACAGCTAAACATACCCAACCAACCAACCATTTTGCATTAAATATACAATTGAGCTTTGATAACCATTGTCTTCTGTACACCTTTACTGTTTATTGCACTTGTAGAAAGTTGGCACCCATCCCTCTCCTAGAAGAATGAAATATTTTAGGAAATATTAAAAAGGCAGAATATTGTATTTTTCCTAAAGGGAGAAATGGAGAAACATGCACTTGGAAGGAAGCCTTTCTTAATAGTACCCAACAGATGACAGCACTTAAGAGATAAAGAAATTGATAGCTCTATTCAAAAGCAAATACCCTCACCCAAGATCCAACAAAGGTAGGATTAGCCCTCAGCCACAATAAAAATTGCCCAATGACCCTTCATTGCACCAGCAGTCCAAACTTCAACCAAACTTAACTCAGACAACCTACAGAGCCAGTTATGATCTCTACTTAACTCCTACAACAGCCAATAAAATACATGTTGTTGCAGGAGCAGGAAGTTCAAGTGCAAAGTGCAAGAGAAGATATAACCACCACCCCTCACTCTCAACTCCATGTGGTCAGCATTAAATGGACCCTCTTTCCAATCAGCCTCCAGCCTCCATTTTATCTCCAGTGCCTTTATCCCGGATTGGAGTTGAACCAGATGGATATTTCTTCTAACATACTCGTGGGATTTTTGTTTCAGTGTAAAACAAAGTATGAAGACAGTCATCAGTGGTATCCGAGCCCTAACTTTGCAATTAAAATTGTGCTAAGATTATAGGGAAGACTTATCCAACCAGTAGTACATGTGAAAAGAATCTGAGTATTCTAGAAGATCAAAAGATCAACATGAGTCAAGAGGGTGATGCAATTGCAAAAAACAAAAACAAAACTGATGCTATTTTGGGATCTATTAACAGTAGTTAACATCCAGAACACAGGACCCACTTGGTATTCGGTGTCTAGTTCTGGACACCACAGCCTAAAAACCAACTGAAAAAATGAGTTTCTTCAGAGGAGGATTGATGAAAGGAAACTGATAACAATAATAATGACACTCATACGCTGCCTGCTCCCAGCAATAAATAGGCCATTTGCAAAATGTGTTAAAAGGCTGAAAACAAGAAAACTATCATGAGTCAAAATGAAGAGTAAAGGTGGCAAGGATGATAAAGCCAGATCAGAACATTCACACAATAGAAAGGAGTCTTCAGTCAACCTTGGCAAAGTCCTGGCAGAAGAATAAGGTCTTCAAATCCCTTTGAAACACAAGTAGTGGGGACTGTTCAAATCTTGGGGACAATCTTATTCCAGAAGGCAGAGGAGCTGAGGTTCTGGAGTTTTGATAGATGGCTTTGTTTAATTCAAGGAACCCGGAGTGCACCAAACCGATCAGATCAGATCAACTGGGCAGAGACCACAGGAGACTAACAGGTCTTCAAGTCATCAGGTAACCAGGTCCTATGCCAGTGATGGCTAATCCTTTTGGCACTGAGTGCCCAAAGCATGCATGCACGTACCCCCCAAATGCAATACGCCCATGTCCCCCCATGCATGCACCCCGCCCCCCAGGTATGTGCAGCAGAGATCCAAAGACCAGATGGCCGATGGGAGGTGCGCATGCACATCAGAGCTGAGCTGCAGCAACAGCTTACCTGGCCACAGACAGGGCTCTGCATGCCACCTGTGGCACGTGTGCCATAGGTTCAACATCACGGCCCTATGCCATCAGAAGCTTTATAGGTTATGACTAACCCTGCACCCAGAAGCAAACTGGCACCCAATGAAGCTCATGAAGCAGAGCTGTTACATGGCAGTTCAAGGCATGCCCATCACTGTCTACACAGCAACCTTCTGGACCATTTGAAACTTCCAGGTAGTCTTGAAAGGCAGCTCCATGTAGAGCACATTGCAGCAGTCAAGCTGTCGGCATGGGACCCCCAAACTAAGCAATGGTAAAACTAACACGATGTTCTGCAGAACACCTACGAAGCTATACAAAGGCCATACTTGTTAACTGCTCATTACCAGGAGCAGTAAGTCCAGGAATACCCCCAAATTGCACACCATCCTTGAATGGGGAAGTGCCACCCCATCCAAGATCAGAGGTGGAATATCCCCAGATTCAGGTGGTCCAAACACTCATGACCACTCAGTTTGATAGGTTCAACTTGGAGATGGTTACTCTCCATCGAAATCCATACAGTCTCCAAGTACTGGGATGGAAGCTTGAGAGCTTCTCTTGATGAGCCCTGAGTCAAAAGATAAAATTGGGTATGTTTGAAGTACTCATGATACCGAACCTCAGACTGGCAGTTGACCTTGTGATTTCATGGAGATGTTGAAAAGGAGAAGAGAGGGAAGTGGACATGTTTACTTCGCAGCAGAGAAGACCAAGGGGAAATATACAGGAGTTTTCAGAAATCTAAAGGCCATTATTTAGATAGGGAGTAGATCTCTTCTCTTTTGCCTGGAGAAATTTCAGGTTAGGTTATCAGGAGGAATTTTCTCATAGTAAGACCTGTCAACAGTGGAAAATCTTGCCTTATGAAGTGACATATCCTTCATTGGAGAACTTCAAACAACAACAAAAAAACCCTCCCTTTTTATGACCCTGTAATTCCTTAATTCAGGGTAGAGTTTGGGGCAACTAGAATGGAGCTGAGTGTTTACTGGCCGGATGCCCTTCCTGACACCATGCTGAGTTCACAGCAGATATTGTCTCTTTGCGCCCTGATAGAGAAAACTCTGCCGCTATCTAGGATTGAATTCTCAACCTTCTGAGTGGGAGGGGAATGTCTTTACCGCTAGGCCACCATGGCACTCACTATTGGAGACCTTCAACAGACCTGTCTAAAACACTTTAAAGGATCCTGCACCAAGAGGAGTTTGAACTAGATGACCTTTCTAAATCTAGGATTTTGTGATAAATTGGTTCGTCAGCAATCATTGGACCTTACTATTTTCCCTCTTTGATAATTAACCATACAAGGGAAACCTTGGCATTAAATTACATAGCTTGCAACAAACGAACCATTTCCAGGTTTTCCAAAATGATATCCCTCCCACAACTGACCACTTGTATCAGCTGCACATGACCACTGACCAGTTGAAGAAGGACAGAAGCTCCTTTGGTCTATGTTCATCGGGGTTATAAACACTCAAAGGACACACAAAGGCTCTTATTCCTCCAGAGCCAAGGCAAGTGGCCAACAGTGCGATGTAGAAGAGGGTTTCCTGCTTCTTTTTAGCCAAAGTGTGAAGGACGTAGTGCTTATCTATGAAAAAATCCTCAAAAGGAAAGGCCACCACAGGTAATAGGGCTGTACCTGTAGAAAGAAAGAAGAACATCTAAAAGTATAAAATAGACATGTCATTTGGGGAAGTTCTGAGGGAACATAGACTTTTTGAAGTGGTCAGTGCCTTATAAATTTTGGGAGTAGGTCATGGTAGCTCTTATAAAAGAACTAATTGCAGCCCTCGATTACAACCATTTATTTAGAGATTTATTTATTCAAAGTTACGACACTGAAAAAAGTTATTTGCAACTGGTCCTTGCACTTATGACCATTGCACCATCTCCACGGTCACGTGATTAAAATTTGGGCATTTGGTAACCAGCATGTATTTACAAATTTACAATTTACACCCCCAGGTTGTGTAACCTTCCCAATTTTTGACAAGGAAAATCAATGTGGGAAGCCAGATTTGCTTAATAAATGTGTGAGCCACTTAATAAATGCAGTGATTTGTTTAACAGCTATGGCAAAAAAAAAAAGCCATAAAATCAGGCACAACCCACCAAACAACTGCCTTGCTTAGCAATGAAAATTCTGATCCCAACTGTGGTTATAAGGACTGTCTATATTTCAAATGAGGTTAGGCATTAACAAAATGGCTGCCACAGTGGACTTTGCCAATCAGAAGTTTACTATCTTTTATTTTTATTTTTTTTATTTTATTTATTTGTCAATTGTTTACGAGATAAGTAAAAGTGTATACATAATTATGAATACATGAAATGAGTACATATAAGAAAAATAAAAGAAAAATAAAAGAAACAATAGGACAGGGACGGTAGGCACGTTGGTGCGCTTATGCACGCCCCCTACAGACCTCTTAGGAAAGGGGTGAGGTCAATAGTAGACAGTCTAAGGTTAAAGTTTTTGGGGTTTGGGGAAGAAACTACAGAGTCAGGTAGAGTATTCCAGACATTGACCACTCTGTTGCTAAAGTCGTATTTCCTGCAGTCAAGCTTGGTGCGGTTAACCTTGAGTTTGTATCTGTTGTGTGTTCTTGTGTTGTTATGGTTGAAGCTGAAGTATTCATTGACAGGTAGGACATTGCAATGTATGATTTTATATACCATGCTTAAATCAGACCGAAGACGGCGTAATTCAAGGTTTTCTAGTTCTAGAATTTCAAGTCTGGTGGCATAAGGTATTCTACAACGAGTAGAGGAGTGGAGAACTCTTCTTGTGAAATATTTCTGGACTTTCTCAATTGTGCTAATATCAGATACGTAATGTGGGTTCCAGACTGATGAGCTGTATTCGAGTATTGGTCTAGCAAATGTTTTGTATGCTCTAGTTAGTAGTGTGATATTACCAGAGAAAAAGCTACGTAAGATTAGGTTAACAACTCTTAATGCCTTTTTGGCTATGTAGTTGCAGTGGGCACTAGCACTTAGATCATTAGAGGTGAGTATTCCAAGGTCCTTTACAGAGCTTGGATCATCAACAAGATCTTGACTATTCAGCTTGTATTTTATTTTCGGATTTTTTTTGCCAATATGTAAGACAGAGCATTTATTTGTTGAGATTTGAAGTTGCCATTTGTTTGACCATTCTGATACATAGTCAAGATCTTTTTGAAGGGTAGCAGTATTGTCTGTGGTATTGAACAGCTTTACATCATCAGCGAAAAGAACGCAGTTGCTCTTAATATGATCACAGAGGTCATTTATGTAGAGTATGAAGAGAGTTGGTCCTAGAACACTGCCTTGGGGGACACCACTATTGACAGGTACAGAATTTGATAGGACACTCCCAATTTTGACCATTTGTTGTCTGTTTGACAGGAATGCTTCTATCCAGTTATGCAGTTGTCCAGAGATACCATAGGATTTTATTTTTAGTAGTAGTTTGTCATGTACCACTGAATCAAAGGCTTTACAGAAGTCTATGTAGATTGCATCTATTGTTTTGCCCTGATCAAGTTGTGTAGTCCATATGTTTTTGCAGTGTAAGAGTTGCAGATTACAGGATAGCTTTTTTCTGAAACCAAATTGTTTATTGGAGAGTAGGTTGTTTGTCTCTAAGTGGAGGATGATGGATTGGTTAATAATTGATTCCATGACTTTACAGGTGACGCAGCATAAGGAGATTGGTCTGTAATTTTCAACTAGGCAAGGGTCTCCCTTTTTGAAGATGGGGATGACTGTGGCTTGTGACCATAGGTTAGGCAAGGAACTGGTCCTGAAAGATTTTTCAAAGATTATGCTTAGAGGTTCGGCTATGGCAGTGGATAACTTTTTTAAGAGATAGGCACATATTCCATCCGGTCCAATAGATAGGGATGGTTTTAGATTGCGTAGTGCTTTTTCAACATTGTCTTCTGTAAAATCGATATGTATTAGATCACTGTAGTTATCTGTGGTTCGGCTAGGAAATGCTGGGCATGATCCATTGCTGTTTACAAATACTGAGCCAAAAAATGTGTTAAAGATGTTGGCTTTAATGGTGTCGTCATTGCAGTCTTTACCATTAGGTCCTATCAGGGGTGGGATGGACCTTGAATCTTTTAGTTTGTTGTTTACAAAATTGTAAAAAGCATTGGTGGAATTGGTGCTTAGAAGGTTTTCCTCTTGTTTAATATGATAATTGGTGCATTCGGTCTTTATTTGGTGGCATAAATTTTTGTATCGGCTTTTGAAATTGGCAACGTGACCAGATTTGTTTTTCCGCCAGAGTGATCTCTTTTTGGATTGAAGTTTCCTTATTGTTATGGGCAATCTGTTTTTTTGTTTTGTTTTGGGAGTAGTTGTTGGTACATATAGTTTGATGACTCTTTTGACTTCAAGTAAAAATATGTTGTAATGGTCTTCAACAGTATTGCATCCATTGAATAGAGATTGCCAATCAAGGGATGAGAGATCGTTGTTTATAAGATCATAGTTGCCTTTTTTGAAATTATAATTGGGGATCACATCATTGTGGTGTTTTTTGTGTGGACGTATGTTTAGACAAAAGTCAATCATATTGTGGTCACTGCTGGAAAAGGGTTCTTTAGTTTGTATTCCATAAATTAAATTCAAACTATTGCAGAAGATGAGATCGAGGCAGTTGTTTAGTCTAGTGTTGTTGGATACTAGCTGTTCCAGTCCCAGATTTGTAACAGCATTGTAAAAGGTTGCATGTATGGTTTCAGTTGTACATTCATTTAGGGTCCAGTCAATATGAGGCAGATTGAAATCACCAAGAAAGATAAAAGGGTATGGGCAGGATGCTGCCCATGTTAGTAGTGTATTTAGCTTGTTTACATGTTCAATGTCATAATCAGGTGCTCTGTAACATAGTAAGAATCGAATTGTGATATTTAAGGACAGTTCACAGATAATGGTCTCAGGAAGAGCAAGCTCCTGGGTAACTTGGATATTTTTTAGATGTAAGGACTTTTTGTAGAAGATAGCAACACCACCTCCTCTACGAATTTCACGATCTGATCGGTAAACATGATAGTCTCTTACTGTGGTAATGGAGTCGGGGAGAGATGCATTGAGCCATGTTTCACAGACAAATATAATGTCGAATTTAGCCATATTTAGTAGGAGGAAAAATTCAGGTATTTTATTTACAAGGCTTCTTGCATTGAGTAGCTTGCATTTAAGGCCAGCAGTAGTTGGAGTTGAGGTAGTTAGGGGCGTGCATGCCTAGTCTTGGGTGATGGTGGATTGGTTGAGGTAGGGTTGTGGTTGAAGGTTAAAGCTGAGTTGTGGGATGTGTGACTTACTTTTGATACAGTCAGCATGGTAGTCAATGTACAGGTCCTTCTCCCCATTGTCGAGACGTTTTTTGAGTTCAGTGCGGAGTACACGGGAGCGGGCACATTGCTGTATGGTTAGGTCAGGGCGACAACGGAGGTTCTTATGGTTGGTGTTGGTTTTGGCGAGTGAATTTATAGTGTAAATGAATTTGCGTTTGCTTGATTCATTTTTGCAAATGACCCTGCAGAAGCGTGGGGTCACAGAGCCGTCACTGTTTTTGAGCTCTCGGCCAATGCGGGAAATGTCAAGTATTTCATCAGGGGAGATGGTTGATGCTTGATAATCACTGATGATGTTTCGGACAGTTGTGATGTCATCATTTTCATTGATGCCCTCTAGACCAAATAAGATGGCGTTTGGACGTTTCCGTTCACGCTCAACAGCCTCTCTGATGAGGATTGGGATATCAATATTTGTCTGGGTTATGTTTTTTTGTGGATTGGGTTGTGGTTGTTGAGTAGAGATGTGGTTTGTAGCTATTGGGTGTTCAGGTTTTTGCATTGTGTCTTTTTTTTTGAGGTTGGATAATCTTTCTATTAAGGCGTCCAGGGATGCTACTTTGGTGTCAAGGGATGTTAATCTTGTGACTCGATTGTCTCAGTTGAAGCTGTGTCCCTTTTAATGTCAATAGGTAGCACACTTCCTAACAAACAGAGGTGGTATTCAGCAGGTTCTGACCAGTTCTGAAGAACAGGTAGTGGAAATTTTGAGTAGTTTGGATAACTGGTGGTAACCTTTCCCCAGGAGTGGGGTGGGCATGGAGATTTTACAGTATCCTTCCCCTGCCATGCCCACTAAGCCACACCCACAGAACCAGTAGTAAAAATTTTTGAAACCCACCACTGCTAACAAAGCCACCCAGCTGAAGCAACCTGCCGTTCTGATTTTTTTTAAGAATGACCCTGGGAGCTGTTGCTGGAGGCATAATAAATAAATAACAAAATAAGAGAGTTGGAAGGAACTGTGGAAGTTTTGTAATCCACCCAACCGCCAAAGCTGGAAATCCTATACCCCGAAAGGAGTCCAGGAATGCTTTACGAGTTGACGATACCATTTCAGACAAATGGTTGCCTAATTTCCTCTTAAACAACTCCAGTGCTGGAGATCCAAAACTTCTGGAGGCAAACCGTTCAACTGGTTAATTGTCCTGTCGAAAAATTTCTCTTTAGTTCTAGGTTGCTTCTCTCCTAGATTAGTTTTCACCTATTGCTTCTTGTCCTGCCCTCAGAATAGCTTGACTCCCTCTTCTTTGTGGCAACCCCTTAGATACTGGAACACTGCTATCATGTTATCTCTAGTCCTGCTTTTCATTAAACACTCATCAAAAATAATAAATCTACTGTAAAGTCAGAGAGACTTGGGACAATATTGCTTATTCTTTCCTTAACCTGACATCGGTCTGAATTTCCTCAGCTTGATAAATCTCTGTTTGTTGTCTCAAGGCCAATAAGTTTCATCCATTATGGTCTACATGACTGTCATAGCATGAATGGCAGAAAAAGCAACATATGTTCAAAAAAAAAAAAGTAAAACAATTAAAGAGAGGCCATATATACTATTTCAAAATATGCCGCACATTGATTTCTCAAATGTGGTACAGAAACACTCAGGGTTTCGAAAGCCATCATTTGCACACCATCTACATTTGGAAATAACTGCCAGCTACCATAAGGTGCCCCAAGAAAGTCATACCTACCGATAAAATGCAGCAAGGCGCACATGTACACCAGTCTGATCCGTCCCACGGGGTGCTCAGCAAGCCAGCCCACCAGAACTGGGGCCACCGTACACGCCCCAGCAAAGCAAACATTGAGCATGGCGGCTTCGTGATTGTGATAACCAAGCTTGATAGTGTAGAAAAGAATCATGTTGCAGACGATGCCGTAGAAAGTGAATTTTTCACACAGTTCCACCAGCAGCAAACAAACCATCGCCTGGAATTCTTTCTCAAACTTTGAACTAGCCAGGCCAAAGGGATTGGATTGTCTTCTTTCTATCTTAAAAACGTGATTCAGAAGTTGTTTGTCCTGTCCAGGTCTTAAGTCTAAGAGAGGCATGACTTGAAGGTTGCTGTGAGCAATGGAAAGTGTGTGTGAGAGTGTGTCTATGTGTAAATGTGTGTGCTTCAGTTTACCCTCTTCTATAATTAACACCTAAGTGAGAGATTTGTGTTAGATTCTATCCTCGGCCACAATTTTCAGAGCGAGTCCTATTTTCTTTCTGTTTAAAAAACAGATTCAAACATTGGAATTAATTTTATACGACCGTACAGCTTTTGCTTAAAAAAATAACCCACCAAAAAACCAAAACCATCCCTCTTTAATTAGCCTGTTAGGTAGCAAACATGATCTGTGCCCTCTCTTCCACCTACCTCCAGACCACAATTGCCGATTAAAATTATGTGAATCCAATACAATGTGCAGCAAACTTTATCTGTCTGTTACAGATAAAATACGTCGGCAAAATTCAAGTATTAGGATTGAGAAAATAACACGAGGCTAATATTCCGATGCTTTAATTAAGCAGCCATGAATGAAACTGGAAGTAAACAGATAAAGATGTGATGGATACACATTACAGGATGAACAACAGCTTATCGTTATTACATTTTGCTATTTTCTTAGTTAAATTCAGATAAGAAAGTTAATTAGGAAAAAAAAAAACTATATTCCACTAGATTTAAGTGTAGTAAGTAGGATCTCCATCAACAAACCTTCTTCCAAATAATTGCAAAGTGCTAATGAAAAGTTTGGGAGTCTTGAAGAAAATCACCTGGGGTATCTCCAAAACAAAATATATACATATTTCTTTCTTGAAACTTTGTTCTAATCACAACCTTGTTTGCAAGGTTTCCAGAAAAATTTCTTATAGCTAAAATCTATGGTGTCAGTCTGCAGTTTAAATAGACTATCACAAGTGTTCCTCACCCCTGGGGTGTGTGTGGACTGGCCCACCAGGAACCAGGCCGCACAACTGAACAAAGCCCCATTTGAACATGTGCAGGATCTTTTTAGAGCAGTATTCCTCTGCCTAGGCCTCTTTATGATGTATGTATGGACTTCAACTCAGTTCATACCATAGCCATCATACTGGAAACACTGTGGCTGAATTCATGTTTTTTAAGCTGTTGCTTAGGGAGCCATGGTTTTTTTTAAATAAACCATAATTGGTGAGTTCACAGAACATATTAAGCCATAAATTAGTCCACTGCATAGGCCAGGACATTTGTGCAACAGGCTAAATCATAACCCAACCAGTAATGTAAAGCGTATGTTTACTCATATGCAGGTAAAAAGACAAACCATGATTTACAAATCAAAATGGCTGGCTACATTAAACAGTTATTTTATTTAAAGAAAACTCCAACATATTATATTTTTAACCCATTTCTTCAACTTCTTTATTCAAACCTGGTGAATTTATTTTATGTTGAAATAGATTGAATAATCTGCAAACTCACCTCTTAATCTGCATTCCCTCTTATGAGACTTCTTCCTGTGAGAAAAACACACATCTCATCATTTTTTTCATCTTTGATTTGTGACTTCAGCAGGAATTAATGTGAACTATAACTTTAAACTGAATGCTAGACATTTAAACTCCTGTATTTTATGCGGTCAAAGAATATTTGTACACTCCCAGTGATGGTTTTTCATAAAATTAACACTTTGTGAATAATAAACATAACCTGCTCACTTATTTATCTGATTATGGCTACAACATAAGGTAGTTTGTTCGGTTTTAGTTTAGAGAACTCTGTGAATCCCACCAATTTGACTGATTTCTGTGTTTGATAGATAACCCAGTTTATCAATCACACAAATGTGCCTGGATACTTCTACTCTTAATATTGCAAGCAGTCTACTCCAACCTGGTCTCCTCCTCATGGGATAGATAATAGTTCCCATTACTTCCAGCCAGCAAATCTATTCTGGGGTGGCAGAAATGACAATCCAATTCAATTTAGAAGAGTTAGTGTTGACTTACCTGCCTGTTTTTGTCCCTGGCCAGATGCTGAGCCTTCAGTTCTGAAGTATGTTCTGAGGCCCAACCCTGAAGCCACTTAGCTCCATGGGAGAACTCTTATGCACATTTACATGCAAGTAGATCCCGTTGCTCACAACACAACATTCTTCTAGATAAATATGCAAAGGTCACAGCACAGTCATCAAAGATGGAGAGCTGCTTAGTTCCCCAAGAATTTACATTTTAAACATTTAGCCTATATAGGTCAACAGAAGGAAATGTTCAACAGATGACACTACTACAAAATATTGTGAAAGACTGCAGTAGACAGTTGGAATATTAGAAAGCAAAATCATTCAACCAAAGAGGAAATTTTCAGATTTAGAGCATGTATGTTTTTAAATAATTTGAAACAATAATTTAAGACACTCAGAATCTATTTGCATGATTTATTGTGTTTCCAGGAACAGGGGTTTCAGGTATTGTGTAATATTCTTGGAAAATCAGTGTAAACTAAAAGGGGAAAAGGTGTGGAAATAAGGCAAAGAAAATGCATGCAGTATAAACATCCTTTCTGATTACTGGAGGACACAATAGGGTTGATTCGGGTTGCCTTGTTATCTTGTGAGTTTAGCCACTGGACTTGGGCCTCCAAAGTTCCTTCCAACTCTATTATTCTATGTTCTATGACTTAGCATATTGTATGACCACAGCTGTATTACATATAATTACAATACCTTTAATGCTCTCAAGGAACACCTCCCTATCTTTTGGAAGGACTTGGATAAAAATGCCAAATCCACCCTAAACATATGGCTGATTGTGCCATGAACCATAATAGAAAATCACAAAGTGCAAAGACCTGCAAATAGAAGTAGAACAACAATGGCAAAAGAAAGCAAAAATAGTACCAATAAGTGATAGGTGCCCTGGGTGCAATTGTGAAACATTTGGAGCACCATCTGAACACCGCCGACATTGACAATATTTCCGTCAGTCACTTGCAAAAGGCAGCTTTTCCTGAAACATCTTATAACACGATCAAGCAACACTAATCTACCAGTAATCCACCAGTAATCAGCAATCAGATCAGCATAGATCAGGGGTCTCCAAACTTGGCAACTTTAAGACTTGTGGACTTCAACTCCCAGAATTCCCCAGCAAAGCTGGCTGAGGAATTCTGGAAGTTGAAGTCCACAAATCCTAAAGTTGCCAAGTTTGGAGACCCCTGGCATAGATTAACTCTAAGGTCAACTTCAGGCCAACAATCAAGTAAGCAATACCTCAAGAAACTGCCAAAGAGCCAATAGTAAACAGCCCAACCAAAGAATCCCTATGTCTGCTCCCACCCACACAGACAGGCACCAGAATATAAATGGACAGCAAACTGAACTCCTTACGAGCACTGATGATGTTACCTAGTTAGGTTAATGAAATATCTGCAAGAAAACAAGCGAGCTCAGAGAGCACCAAGCACCCTTCAAACAAGATCTGCCTATCTGAGGACCTCAGGAAAGACTTTATAGATAGAGCAGTGGTGTCTAACCTTTTTGGGCTCCCGTGCTGAAAATTGCACGCACATGCACACTCTCATCTCAGCACCCAGAAGGCAATGTGAGTGGGGGCTCCCCATGCCCCCTGTGCATGCACACATGATCCTGTGTGCCATGTGTCTCTGCACATGCGCACATGATCCCCCTGCATGTCTCTGCACATGCACGCACATCTTCCACGCACCCCCACACTCCACGCATGTGCACCAGATACCCGACAATCAGCGGGCAGGCAGGAGGCATGTGCACATGCGCAGTGGGGCTCTTCCAGGTGACTTCTCACATGCTGGCAGAAGTGGCTCTTCATGCCACTTCCGGCATGCGTGCCATAGGTTTGCCATCACGGAGATAGAGGATCAAAAATGCCAAATCCAGTTTAAAGATTTGGCTGATTGTGTGACCAACAATAATAATCAGGTAGTTCTCGCTTAATGATTGTGATTGGGACTGGCAATGGTCACAAAAACAATGAAGTCATGAAACCAGAGATATTTTTATTAGGTATCTTGCCTGAAGGATACAGTAGAGAATTGATATATTTGATTATTAACATTTTAACAGCAGCTAGAATTGTATTTGCTCAAAACTGGAAAAGTGAAAAAATTCCAACAGAAGAGGAGGTGATAAAGAAAATAATGGAATGTGCAGAGATGAGTAGATTTACATTGGCAATTAAAGAACAAGAAGAAAAAGAATATTATAAAATATGGGATTTATTTTAGCAATGGTTAGACAGGAAAATAGAGAAATGAAACACATTACAATATAAATATAGTACAATAGTAAAGATGATACAATGAAATGATATATTATAATTATTATGGAAGGAATTAGAATTTGCTCGAAAAGGATGAAGTGAACTTGTAATTAAAGTCTAATAATGATTTAATAATAACATAATATGATATGGATAGTAGATTTATATAATATGAATTTTAATCTAAACTTAAGAGGGAAAGACTGTTGATATTATGCACAAGAGATATGTACCAACCGATACACTGTACAATTGAAAAGAAGGTTTTATTTGTTGTTTTGTGTTTGTTGTTAAGAAATAACACAAAAACAATGAAGTTATAAAGTGTGATGTCACATGCCCATGATGCCTTACAATAGCAGTGGCAGCAGTTCTGGTTGCTATTGTTAATTGTGGTCCTTAGGTCATCAGATCACTTGATCGTCATTTATGACCCACTAGAGCAGGGGTCTTCAAACTTGACAGCTTTAAGACTTGTGGACTTCAGCTCTCAGAATTCCTCCTCCAGTCATGTTAGCTCAGGAATTCTGGGAGTTGAAGTCCACAAGTCTTAAACTCGCCAAGTTTGAAGACCCTTGCACTAGAGGCTTCCTCAATGATTTTGCTTGTTGGAAGCTGACTGTGAAGGTTGCAAATGGTGATCAAGTGACCACGGGGATGCAGCAATGGCTCAACTCCTCTTGCCCTTCTGAATGGTCATTGAATGAGTAATCATCAAATGACAACCATCTATAATAATTTATTAAGTGTCTGACCCAGCTATCAATGATTCTGGAGAGGT